GGCAGGAGGAGAAGGGGATGACAGAGGATGAGATGGTTGGATGGCATCACCAACTCAATGGACATGAGTTTGAGTAAACTCTGGGAGTTGGTGATGGACAGGGAAGCCAGGCATGCTGCAGTCCATGGGATCACAAAGAGTCAGACACGACTGTGCAACTGAACTGATACTCCATGCATCTCAGTGAGTAGCACCACCAAATGATCAATTTCTCAAGCCAAGAAATGTAGTCCCATCCCTGATTTCTCACAAAGTCTTACCAATTCTATAATAAAATATAACCTGTATCAATCTATCACTTTACATCTCCACCACCACCATCTCTTGTTTTGGAGTCATTACTATGAAGTGTTCTCCCTGTTGCTACTCTTGATTCAATCCAATTTACATACAACAGAAAAAATGACTTTAAAATATAAATAGGATTTTACTTCAAATACTTGAACAGTTCCTCTTCATATTTAAAATAAAAGTCACTTTATTGGCATGATCCAGAAGGCCTACAGATTATCTGCATATTTTTTTTCCCTAAATAGAGAGAATTCAGGGCTTCCCTGGTGGTCCAGTGGTTATGAATCCGTTTTCCAATTCAGGAACACAGGTATGCAGGAATACGGATTCAATCTCTGGTCCAGGAGGATCCCACATGCTGCAGTACTGAGCCCTGTGCCACATCTACCGAGTTCACGTTCTAAAGCCCAAGAGCCGCAACTACTGAAGTCCATCTACCTAGAGTCTGTACTCGGTGACCAGACAAGCCACCACAGTGAGAAGCCCACACACCACAACAAAGAGCCCCCACTCTCCACAACTAGAGAAAGCCCACGCACAGTACCGAAGACCCAGTGTGGCAAAAATAAATAAATTAAAAAAACAATAATTACAGAAAATTTATACCAAACAACAACAAAGAGCTTCTGGTAATTCTTCCTAAAGCCCTAAGAAATATTTTGGGGAGAAAGTATGACAGGAAAAAAATGCTTTTAAACGAATGCATTATATACTTGTATCAGTAAAAAGCACAGTATAGTTGAAAGGCCACTTAAGAATTAGATCAGAAAAAAAAAAAAAAAAAAGAATTAGATCTGATTATGAAATCATCCAGATATGGAATGATCCAGATAGATGAGTTAAGATAATTTACTAACCTTTTCTGAGCTTCAATTTTATTATCTGCTAAAAATGAGAAAATTAGACTAAACTTTGTCTCAATTCAAACTACATAACAGGCATTTAAAGCATCTAAATTTTTCTTTCAATTTCATGAAAACAGTGAAAACAGGACATAGGAAAGAGTGAGAAAGGGAACAAAGGATGGCATGTGGAAGGAAAGGGCTTAAAACACTGGGTTTGTTTTTCTCTAAGATCCCTTTCACTCCCAATATTTCCAAGCAGGAAGGAACAGTACATTATCATTTTCCCTATTGAAACAGAAAATAGCAGGAGGTTTCAGGTGAAAACTTCAGATAACCCATTCCTCAAGGCCTCGAAACTTTTGCCTTAACCAGAGAAAGGATGTGGTTTACTCTAGTCTGATTTATTTTTCAGGAAAATAAAGATTTTTTTCAATCAAAGATCTCAGCATTTGTCTTTATGTCTATAAAAGCTGCCCAAAAAAAACCACAAAAAACAAAACAAACAAACAAAAGCTGCCAAATCAGTCTGTTATGCTGGGATTCTTAACTATGATTTAGAGAAATTTTTCTTTCATGGGATGACAGTGATGATCATGGTGGTCAAAAACATCCCTCAAATCTTTATTTATAAAGCTACAGATACACAAAACCAAATGTAAGGATTTTACAAGTAAGTTTTACTACTATCAAAAACTATCCTAAAATTATATAGAGGGCATGCAACAAACAGTAAGCATCAAAACTGGGTACTGCTCTTATTAACTATATGACTTTGGACAAGTCAATTTATGCTCTCAATGCTTCCGTTTTCTTATCTGTAAAACGGAAGTTATGAACTGAACTTGTCAGGTAAACATGTACAGCAGTAACTATGGACACCTTCAGCAACTTTTACCAACCTAGCCTTTATCACAAGACAGACCAGTCAGTAACTGTTTGGTGAAAGTTAATGCTTTTAATGTAAAATTCTATCAAGTAACTCTTCTTCAGAGAATAAATATTCCCAGATGAAGTTATTCAGTTCTTAAATATTGATAAAGATTTACTATCTGGAGTCATTTATTTGATTAAAAAATAAAATATATGTATATTTAAAGATGATCTTGAAGGATATAAAACAAAGCCTCTTAACCATTGCTGTTTTCTTTGAATGACAGAAACAAGATATTTATTTCATTCTCTTAGGCTCATCTATAGTTTCTAATTTTTCTATAATAAACAAGGTATTTCTGTAATGAGGAATACCACCATTTTTTTAATGAAATTAACAGGCAAATGAAGTTAAACATTTCTTTAATTCATGCTTTGGAACTCAAAATATATTAGTACTTATACTGGCTGCACTCATATTCCTACTGGAAGAGAGACAACCAAGAATATTAAACACACATTTTAATTTACTTTCCATTCTGATTTCTCTTTTTTTAAACTATAGTTGATTTACAATATTATATCAGTTTCAGGTATGTAACATAGTGATAATATTTTTATATATTATACTCCATTTAAAGTTACTACAGGATAACAGCTACATTTTTCTGTACTGTACAATATATCCTTTTGCTTATCTATCTTATACATAGTAGTCTGTATCTCTTAACACCCTACCCCTATCTTGGCCCATCCCTCTTCCCTCTTCCCACTGATAAACACTAGTTTGTTTTCTACATCTATTATTCAGTTTCTGTTTTCTCATATACATTTGGTTCATTGTATTTTTTTATATTTTATATATAGCTGGTAACAGATTATTCATCTTTCATCTTTCTCTTATTTCACCACATATAATACTCTCTAGATCCATCCACACTGTTGTTATGGTTGAGTAATATTCCATTGTGCGTACACATATGCCACAACTTCTTAACCAATTCATTTGTTGATGGAGACGGGTTCCTTCCATACCTTGGTAATTGTAAATAATGCTGCTATGAACACTGGGATGCACATTGTTTTCATCTTCTTCAGCTTTATACCTAGGAGTGGAATTGCTGGATCATATAGTAGTTCTATCTTGAGTTTTTTGAAGGCCTTCCATATTGTTTTTTATAGTGACTGCACCAACTTACATTTCCCATCAACAGTGTACAAGGATTCCTTTTTAGTCACATCACCAACATTAGTTATTGGTCATGTTTTTAAATGACAGCCTTCTGTCAGGTATGAGGTATTATCTGTGGTTTTGATTTGCATTTCTCTACTGCTTAGCACTATTGAGCATCTTCTCATGTGCCTGAGGGCCATCTGGATGTCTTCGTTGGAAACTATCTATTCAGGTCTTCTGTCCATGTTTTAATTGATTTTTGGAGCCGTTTATATATTTTTGGGTATTAACCACCTAAAGGTCCTATCATTTACAAATATTTTCTCCCATTCAGCAAGCAGGCTGTCTTTCATTTTGTCAATGGGTTCTTTTGCCATGCAATAGCTTTTAAGTTTTAATTAGTCCCATTTGGTTTCCTTTGCCTTAGGAGACAAATAAAAAAAATAATAATGCTATGATTTACATCAAAGAGTACTCTGCCTAGGTTCTCTTCTAGGAACTTTATGGTTTCACATCTCACATTTAGGTATTTAATCCATTTTTAGTTTACACTTTTATATACAGTGTGAGGAAATGTTCTAATCTGTGTTATACACAGCTCTTCAGTTTTTCCAGCACCATTTACTGAAGAGACTATCTTTTCTCCATTATATATTCTCTCCTCCTCTGTTGTAGACTAACTAACCCTGTGAGTTTGTTTCTGGGCTCTCTATTCTGTCCCATTGTAATCTATGCGTGTTTTTGTTTAACTACCATGCTGTTTCCATAAATGTAGCTTTGTAGTATAGTCTGAAGTCAAGAAAGCATAATACCTCCAGCTTTTTTTTTTTGTCTCTTTCAAGATTACTTTGGCATTTTGAGGGTCTTCTGCACTTAGATTATTAATTTTAGGATTATCTGTTCTAGTTTTGTGGAAAATGTCATATATTTTCACCACCCCTCCTCTCCTTCTGGGACTCCCATAATGCAAATGCTGGTATAGTTCAAGTTGTCCCAGTGGTCCCTTACACTGTTCATTTTTTTTTTGGTTTTCTTTTTGCTGTTCTGATTAGATGATTTCCATTATCCTTTCTTCCAAACCATTTATGTGCTCTGTATCATCCAGTCTACTATTAATTCCTTATAGTGTGTTTTTCATTTCAGTCTGTATTTTTCAGTTCTGATTCTTCTATTTTCTGTGTTATTACTCATAAAAACGCTTTGAATTCTTTATCTGGTAAACTGCTTATTTCTGTTTCATTAGCTGTTTTTTCAGGGGTTTCCTCCTACTCTTTCAATTGAAACAAATTTGTCTGTCTTGTTTTGCTTAACTTTTACCTAATTTCACAGAGGAACAGCTTACGGGTGTCATTATGTGGGGCAATCCCTATACAGTCAGCCTGTGCCCATGGCTTTGGAGGGAGAGCCGGATTCACCCTGAACACAGGTCACACTTTCCCTGACAGCATGATGGTAGCTATCCCCTTGCTGGGAGGTGTGGCTCGAGGTGGAGGGGCCAGGGCCAGGGCCAGGTATGAGCTGGCTGTCTGACCCTCTGCTGTCACCTCCCTTTCAGGGACAGGGTCAGGCCTCAAATTCCTGCAGCACAAGTCCCGGGGCTCAGTCTGAGCGGGCTCTCTTCCCTCTAAGTGTGTACCCTACACACCTCTCCCTCTAGCACTGTTGTGTTTTAACAAGAGGGGCTGGTGTGGGCACTCCAAGTGTGGGGGCATGGGCTATCGGTCCTGCAAAGGTCACAGATCCAGACTGCTTCTGATATTCTGCCTGTAATGGGCGCCCCCACCCTGCTCACACGCTGCTTCAGGTCTGCGTTGCTTCTGTATCTCACGGCCTGTCTCCCAAGCAGGACTATAGAGTGTCTGTTTAGCTTAGGCCAGGATGTGCAAGGGTGGCTATGGGAAGCCCATCAGCCACTCCGGCAGCTTTCAACCCACCCTCTCCACCCTGCCTCAGACAAGGATGCGCACCCCCCTCAAGGGCAGAGTTCAGGCGTCCTGCAGGCCCCCGTTGGGCCCACTGGCCTCCAAGCAGCCAGGGTGGCTCATGTTTCAGTGCTGGGCCCTGAGACTGTGGCACCCAGGATGCGGCTTAGCCCACTCGCTCCCCAAGGAGGGCCTCTACCCATGTAACTTCCCGAGTCCTCTCCCAGCAACACAAGCTCCAACTCATCATTTATCTCCCCTTCCTATTCAATGTCATGCATATCTTTCTCTCAGCTTTGACTGTGCAGGAGTCCCTTAGCCAGTCTCCAGTTAGTTTTCAGTGAAAACTGTTCCACGTGTAGATTTTTGATGTCTTTGGGGGGGGAAGGTGAGTTTTGCCTCCTCTACTCCATCTTGTCTCTGAGACACAGCTTTATGACCTTATTATCTGGCCAAGTTCACAACAATGTTAGTTTCCTCAGAGGGCTAGAGAGCCAGAGAGAGGCATGCAGCTAGAAAGAGCACCTAAATCATACTCCAAAGGCTGTCCTAGGAGGTTCGAGGTATTTTCGTGGTTAAGAATCTTTGCCATAAGCCTTTGATTTCTTATTTGGGCCCTAACTCTTACTATATATCTTCATTTCTTAAATCTCATCAAAACTTCCATGCAACCCTTCCAAACATTTCCAAAATTAAGAAAAAATTACCGATGAGACTTCTATAATCTCTTAACCTCGAATTTCTTTTCTCTTGTTCCTCGCTGACAGATTTCCACTGCAGTTTCATTCTGAAGTATTCATCACTACAGAAACAATTTTACACCAAAAAGTTACTTAAACACCTAAAAAAAAATTTTAATGTATCAAAGCATTTATGATGCTAGTGAGATATAAATTTATAAATGATAGTAAAATGTTTAAAGTTAGGATAAATTAGTGAAAACAAAGGAAAAATAAAATAACCTATGTCAAACTCTGTTTAAACTATGTGAATAATTTATGTGTGATTTTAAGGAAACATTTATTTAAATCCTTAATATCAGACCTAAAATTATTCCTGTCATTAAATACTTTAACCACTAGAGTTTCTGAATAATGACAAATTTTGGGTTGGCCAAAAAGTTTGTTTGGGTTTTTAAAACCAGAATAAACTTTTTGGCCAACCCAATATAAACCTAAGGAAAAAAAATTTTTTTTTCTTTAATGTAACATATGAGTGCCATTTTCCAACAAGTTTACTGCATAAATTTGTTGATGTGAAAATGTAAGATGTTCTGGCAAACATATTGAGATGAGAAAGGACTGTGTGAGTTTGAATATATACATAATGACTGAAAATGAGCATTAAATTAAAGGTTAGACTGACAGACTGGGAATAAGTAAAACTGGACAGTTGGTCTGCGTTTCTTTTTAAGTCTGATAAATTACTTAGAAACAGAAACACACTTCTAAAAAAAAGGAATCAAAGACCAGTTTATAAGAGCACCAGGAAAATAATTTAAAGGTAATTAACCTAAATAGCAAATATACTTATGAACCATTTTTATAATTTCCTAATAAACTAGAAAAATGAATCAAGATAAATGACATGTATTTAAAAAGCTATATCTAAGTATGTTTAAAATGTAGATACAAAGGAACTAGAATTTTTTTAACCAGTTTTCAACATATTCACCAATGTAATTGCAATAAAATCTCTCTAATAAGCATTTCTGGTTTGAAATTAACTACTGCACTTGTAATGTTTAAGTTAAAAAGATGAAAATAAGAACATACTCTCAATCCCAGTATATTACACTTTATATGGGTAAGTTACTTGGGTTTCTTTAGTAAGCATAGAAAAGACCATTACTTACGTCTTTTGTTTTTGTAACTGAGTTCTTTCCTCTTTGGTACTGTCCCAAGGAAAATAACCCAGAAGAAACTTCCATGCTTGTTTTCTCAATGCATGACTAAGTCCCTAAAGAAAATATGCATATTAAACACACTTGTAAAAAATGAGTGCAATACTTTATCTTACAAAACTAGCATATAAACAGAAAAACTAATGATTAAGAGAGAGTTTCACATAGGCATACCTCATTTTACTGCACTCTGTTTCACTGCACTTCTCAAACATTGCATTTTTTTATTCAATTAAACATCTGTGACGAGCCTGTGCCAAACAAATCTATCTTTGCAATAATTTTTTAACAGCATTTGCTCATTTCATGTCTCTGAGTTGCAATTTGGTAGTTCTTGCAATATTTCAAGCTGTTTCATTATTATTATTTGTTGTGGTGATTTGTGATCAGTGATCTCTGATGTTACTGTTATTAAATCTTTTTGTTTGCATTTTTTAATTAAAATATGTACATTTTTTTTCTTAGACATGACACTGTTGAACAATCAACTAAATACAATACAGAGCACAAGTGTAATTTTTATATGCATTGGAAAATCAAAAATTTGAGGGACTTGCTTATCTACAATATTCACTTTGCTGCAGCAGTCTAGAACCAAACCCACAATACTCCAAGGTAGTTATACATATGAAAATAGCTCAAGTCAGTGACTACTGCCTTGTTTTTGACTTTGAGATTCTGACGGTGTAAGCAGCTGCCAGAAAACATGAATAGTGAAGAGTAAACAGGAGACCACAGAGCTGACAGCAGGCTGATAGTCTTTCCAAACCCAAACCTTACCGGAAAAGGCAGCTACCACAGAGAGACAACACCTCCTTCAGATCACCCACACAACTCCCCAGTAAGAAAGAGTGCCTTTCCATAGGCTTAGCAGCATAGCCCTAATACCCAACCCTCAAGGACATCACAAGCACCTCACTTTGTCCTACAGGGATTTGAAGATATCATTCATCAAAATGGAGTTCCTCTCTCCAACATCTCAAAGGAAAAAGAAAACTCAAATACCAACAATTTAAAATACCAAAGTAATTACCCCTCTAAATATCATCTGCTTCATATTATCTACATTTAAAATTCTTCCTTCAGAATCAATGTTCTTAGTCCATTCTTCCAATGATACTGGCTCTCTCCTTTGAACAACAGGTCTTTCGCCCAAATCAATCTAAAATAGGAAGATAAGCAAAAAGAAGTACACCTTTAACAAGTGAAATAAAATCAAAGTATATAGCAACTAAAATACTATTACTCACACATAAGTTCTAACATTTCTAATATTTTCCCTTAGTTTCCAATGTTTAGTTTATAAACTGCAGTAACACTCCATACATTTTTCCCTCCTAGTAAACACACAAATAACTGAGCTATAAATTCAGAAACAGAAAAGCATTTGCTACTTTGGGTTTCAATTACATAAGTATAGAACATTCAACATACAAATTCTAAAACAAACCCTTCAAACTAAATGGTAGGCTCTATTATTTAAAAAAAAAAAGAGAGAGTACTATTCCATTCATATTCTAAAATTAACTTTCCTTCCAAACTAAAATTGGTAGCTCTCAGAATTGATTCATGATTCATTAGCTTCACATTGCATTTTATTGTTCTTAGTCCATTCTTCCAATGATACTGGCTCTCTCCTTTGAACAACAGGTCTTTCGCCCAAATCAATCTAAAATAGGAAGATAAGCAAAAAGAAGTACACCTTTAACAAGTGAAATAAAATCAAAGTATATAGCAACTAAAATACTATTACTCACACATAAGTTCTAACATTTCTAATATTTTCCCTTAGTTTCCAATGTTTAGTTTATAAACTGCAGTAACACTCCATACATTTTTCCCTCCTAGTAAACACACAAATAACTGAGCTATAAATTCAGAAACAGAAAAGCATTTGCTACTTTGGGTTTCAATTACATAAGTATAGAACATTCAACATACAAATTCTAAAACAAACCCTTCAAACTAAATGGTATGCTCTATTATTTAAAAAAAAAAAGAGAGAGTACTATTCCATTCATATTCTAAAATTAACTTTCCTTCCAAACTAAAATTGGTAGCTCTCAGAATTGATTCATGATTCATTAGCTTCACATTGCATTTTATGGTTTTTTATTCAATAATGTTGGTAATTTTTTTTAAATAATGTTGGTAATTTTTAAATGCCATTTGTAAGATAAGTTCTTTAAGTGTGTGTGTCTTAGTTGCTCAGTCACATCCAACTCTTTACGACCCCATGGATTGTAGCCCACCAGGCCCCTCTGTCCATGGGATTCTCCACACAAGAGTACTGGAGTGGGTTGCCATTCCCTTCTCCATTAAGTACTATAATTTAGATATTTCATAATGTTCTGTGTGGAGCCTAGAATTTTAACAAATTCAAAAGTCTTGTTGAGCATATGTAAAGATTTGACATAATTCAAGGCCAAAATCCATCCTACTTAAAAAGAAAATATTCACCTAAGAATGAAAGCCCAAGAGTAGTGTCCTGACTCGCTGCCTGTGTAGAGTACCTGGGAAAACAAAAATCTGGAGCAGAACTATGGGCAACATGCAAGGCTTACTATTCACTCACTCCTATGCACTCAATGGAATTCCCTGGTGGCTCAGATGGTAAAGCGTCTGCCTACAACGCAAGAGACCCAGGTTCAATCCCTACGTTGGGAAGATCTCCTGGAGAAGGAAATGGCAACCCACTCCAGTATTCTTGCTTGGAAAATCCAATGGATGGAGGAGCCTGGTGGGCTACAGTCCATGGGGTCACAGAGAGTCAGACACGATGGAGCAGCTTCACTATGCACTCAATGAAACGAATGACCTATTCATTATTATCAAAAAGTAGTCAAAGAAAAGACATCCAACACTGATGAATAGAAAAGGAAAGCAGCATAGTTGGTGAAGAAACAACCAAGAATCTGGTGGCAGGACAAGCTTGAATTGTTAGATATATTAGTTAGCAAAAAGTTATAAGAAAGGATTGTGAGAAAGAAGCCAGGTATGACCAAAACTGAATTTCTATTTATCATTTAATTTCTATATTTCTATAGAAATGCATTTCTGTAGCATTAAAAAGCATTTCTCCTGATAAAATAGAAGAGCTATATTAACATAAACTCCACTCACCTTTGTGATGACTTCAAATCCTGGTTCTTCTTGTTGATTTATCTTTAAACCTGGAATAGCATCACTAAGAAAATCTGCCATCTCTGAAGGTGGTCGCTGATGTACAGAAGGATCACTGCCTCTTAAACTATCAAAAATGTAGTTTGTGACTTTGGAAAATCCTACCATAGTTGCTGTATAAGGATCCTTTTTAATTTTCTATGCGGTAGGAAGAAAAATATTGGCACAGTTAATTCAAATGAACACTAAAAATACCTCATGATAAGCAAAAGGGCAAAGATTTTTAAAAAAGGAGGGGGAATCAAAACTAAAACAGTATTCTAAGATTATTTTAAAATTTTGTTTCTTTCTGGGAAGAAAAATTTAAATTTTCTAAGCCAATTTTTTCATTTGGTTAAAATAGCATATTAAATGACAAGCTAACACTACTGATTGAATTGCAGATAAACAAATGATTTGCAGGCTTCATTCAATCTGCATACACCAGAAATATATGCAGTGCTTACTTTCCACTGATGAATGGCCCACAACAGCTTTCTTCTGTCTAGTAGTCCTGCCTTCACAGAAAAAAAATGCTTCTTAAAGTGTGCAGTACCACACTAATGTAACACAAAATATCTGACAGCTAAGTTTAAATACTCACAATATTTAAATATTAGCTGACATAATATACGGGTAGCTCATGCCAGTAAGACTAATTTGTTCTGGACAGTGCTGTCCTAGAAAACAGTAAAAAAACATTTTTCTACTGCTAAAGTTATTTCTAAATCCCAAGCTGCCTGCTTACTCATATTTAGCAAAAACAGCTACTTCTTAAAGGTCTACCTTTAAAATGATTATTTTTCATAATAAGAAAAACTGTTCCCTTTTTTTTTTTCTAAATCAGCGTTCAAGAGCTCTCCTGTCTTCCTTCCTAAAACGTCCCCACTTTATCATCAGAACCAAGAAAAGAACATCTAGGACAAAGTAAGCACTCAAACATTTGTTGAATGAATAAGTGAATATATACAAACACATGAGGCAACAAAACTGCCAATAAGTTTACATAGAAATCTGAGTGAGAAATTATCTTTAGTTCCGCCTGTGCTTTTCAGTCAAATTCAAGAATATACTCAAATACTTGGAAGAGGAATTAAACTAACCTGACCCCAAATGAACCTACTGAACTGGAAAATAAAAATTCAAACCAGATGATACATATTGTTTCTATAGTATGATACATACTATTTCCTATAAAATTATAGAGAATAGTTCCATAAAGTTTACATACAAACAGACATGTGCCTCATTCTGTATAATTGCTAGGAAAGTAAGAGGTAGCATGTATATAAAATAATGGGGTCAGACTAACAGATTAATACAAAATAGACTTAAGAAACATACTTGTATTATACCATATGCTGGTTCATCAAGAAGATTTTCAAAAGATTGTGAAAGACTCTTATTCTGACAATTCACAAGAAGTGTTCTTTTGTCCTGTGGAGATCTGCAATAAAAAAAGGGGGGGGGGGCACTTTGTAGAAAACAGTATCACACTGTATCAGTGATACATGAATAATTACTAATGCATAGTTATTTTTCCTTGACGACAACAACAAAAAAACCCTTAAATGTCCAGCTCCAGGACAGTTTCCCATCAATACAGTATTAGCAAGTACTTAGTAACTATCTTAAGTGAGTTCCAAAACTACATGAAACTACTAAATAAACAAATAAAAAAGGATGAAGTGTATTTCTATTTTATTTTATTCCAAGAGAACTAAATTATAATGAACCCAAACCCAAACTCTTGTTTAGAATATAGTAAAAAATCCTTACAAATATATCTTCCCTATTATAAGAATATATTTTCTCTTATGAAGAAAACTGAAACGCACTTCAGGATTCATTGGTATATGTAATATGTACACTGTAGGAAAACATCCTATTTTGAAATGGACACTTCACATTTGGGAGAATTTCAATATGAGATGTTAAAAATACAAGATAAAAAGATTACCTGTTAAAGATCATTAATTATGCAAATCATTATTATAACACACATGGTTGTAATGTACAGTTCACATAACAGTATATTTTTAGTTCTTGCTTATAAAGCTCTGGACACAAGTTTTTCTTCACATTTCCTAATAACTACAGAATAAACAAAATGCTTTCCAAAAAGAGACCTAATTTGAAGTAAACAAATGAATTATCCAGTCTTTTTTCTATTCAAAAGTTTTATAAGTTAGTAAGCCAGCTGTAATAAATCCACAACTTTTGTGTTTAAAAACAAAAATTAAATGCATTGTTTTGCTGCTATCTACCTCTAGTTTATTATAAAAACTTGAGATAAGAACTTCAGTATCAGTTCTCTCTTCTCAATTCTTACATAAGAGGATGCAACAGCAATTGTGGGAGTACATGAAATCCAAAACAGATTTTACTCTTAGTCAGAACTCACTCCTCAGAGACAATAACAGCTTACTAAGCCCCTTGGCTTTTTAAAAGAGTTAAGGTTGAGTAATTTGAAGTAGAAAAAAAATAACTTTTAAATGTTCGATTTTCATTAATCACTTTTCTGAATGTCTCCTGGAGGGGGGTGGTTCATGATTAACATGAAGACCTACAGGTTCTCACAAGGCATTTCTAAGTGACTGGTCAACTTGTAAATGAAGCATCAGAAAAAGAAAATAATTAATACAGGAACGTCTTTTTCCCTAACACAGTGGTGCTGGCGCTATGGTTACTTGTCTCTAAAAATAGTTTATATCAATTTTTTCTTTAACTACAAATAAGTGATCATGAAATCAAAACACTGGCTTCTACATGTTGAAGGGGCGTACACATGCAACCTTCAGTTATCTGTGTCCAGCCAACTATTTGGCTCCAGATACAACACTATGGTCACAAGACCAGAGATGCAGAGAAGAAATGACTGCTCAACCAACAACCAACCACAGATACTTTTATAAAAGGAAGAATTTATCTTTTTATTTTTTTAATAACTAATGCTCTGTGGTGAGGGGCTAGAAGAAGTCACATTTTACTTGTTTGCCCCTAAAGAAATCAACAGAGCATTTTCTTTAAGCACACCAGTAGGAGGACAGGCGATAAGATAGGCTGTTAAGCAGCCGCAGCGCTCACTAGGAGGCGGCCTGCATCCCAGAACACGGCCACATGCCCACCTGTCAGATCACCACACTGCATCTGGGAGGATTAATTACTCTCTTCACATATTCTGGGGATTACAGATTCTGGGAAGTTGCTCGTTCATAACAATGTTATTCAAGACTTTCAAAACCTCACTGCAGCAGTAAGATAGCACTTTTAATGATGCTAACATCACCAATTCTATTAGATCCTACTAAAGGGCTTAAAGAAAACCACTGTCTAATGTCGTAACTATAGATGTATAATTACTGAAAATTCAGAAATACTTTGGAATGAGCCTCTCTCAAAGACTTCAGAATTCAGAAATTACAACAGCTGAAGAATGTTTGCACACTGAGATGTAATAGTAACTATTTTATATTGCTACTGAGATCAATAGGGAAAGCTAAATAAATAGCAACGCTGCAAAAGATACAAAGCAGAAAAGGTTAATAAAAAGGTACAGAATATTTACAGCAAAACTGTATAGTTTAATCCTATTTATATAATTTATATATAGGCTTCTCTGAGGGCTCAGTGGTAAAGAATCCGCTTGCCAATGCAGGAGACACGAGTTCAACCCCTGGATTGGGAAGATCCCCTGGAGAAGGAAACGGCAACCCACTCCAGTATTCTTCCCTGAGAAATCCCATGGACAGAGGAGCCTGGTGGGCTACAGTCCATGGGGTCACGAAAGAGTCGGACACAACAGCAACTAAACAAATGTGTACATATGTATGTATGAATATACACATACACACACACATAAATGTATCTCACAAAGAGAATATATGAGGGTCAAGAACCTAATCTCATAAATGGCTGGTGTTATGATACAACCAATTTGGCTTTTTAAGGAAACATTTCACTGCTTGGATATTTATGTATTAATTTTTAAATGGCCCAATATATAAAATAATTTTAACAGAACCAATAACCTTCATTGACATCCTAACAACCAACTTGGTTCCAGAAAAATAACAAAAATGTTTCTGTGGCTCATTCTTTGATCCCACTAAATATGATGTTTTCAATGTTGGTAAGTCAGACAGTAAAGAACATCAACGAATAAGACAATTTGTTTTTCCCAGTAGTTAAGAAAACTAGTTGAGAAACTAGTTAAGTCTCAAGAAGCTGGCCTGTTTTGCGCTGACTGATTCACTTGATAAAAATGAAAGAAGGAAATGTGCATAGCTGCCCCAGCCTTTATCTCACTAGCAAGTCTGCAGTTGCCTTTCATCTGTATGGTTAAGGCTCTTAATTCATTACAGGGAGTATTAGGAAGACATCATGGCCAAAGATGAAAGCCACATTCTTTAAGTTAGGTTAATCAGAGAAAAAAGATAACATAGTCTGATTCTACCTCTACTGATGTTTTGAACTCAGAAGAAGACAAGAAGGATGACCTGGGAACAGAACAGCCAGGATCTCAGTAAAGCTGCTGAAATCAAGCTTTTCCTGGCCTTCTTCTGGTCTCTACAACAATTTGTGACCATAGGAACATGACTCTGAAAACACCATTTTGCTTAGGATAACTGCTCCAGTGACAGGAAATGATACCTAATAAAGTAAAAAATGGGGGATAGCTGGGAATTTTCATTTCTTTGGACTTAATTGGAAATTCCATTTATTGGGATCCTAAGTTATGAACATAAAAAAGAAAAACCTTTAGTATCTCCCTAAGAATCTGATAACAAGAGATGGCTTATACAAATTTGTTAGTTATTTTTATACTGGTGACTGTTTATCTGGAATTTCTAATATCCTACCACCTGGACTCGGCATACAATCTCTGGTAACCTACATGACACAATGTAATTGGGCACAATTTATGATGGGAAAAAGATTAGGGGGTGCTTATTTTCTGCCTGGGGTACAAGAGGGGCCTGGGGATAAAATATTTGATGTACATTTCAGGCTATTCAGGAGCAAAGAATAAACTGGCCCCCAGTGTCACAGGAGAATACACAATAGAGAAGTGGCTGGTATTAGGGATGTAGCTTTTAAAGGACTCACTTTACACTGCTATCTCCTCCCCTAGAAACAGTCACATCCTTGGTTGACCATAAATGTGAAAAACCCTGGTGGGAAGAGAGAAAACAAAGTGTTGGGAGTCAGACTCCTCTGCTAGGGTCTTCTCTTTGACCAGGTCATTAAAGGCTATAATTAATCACTTAAGCTCACATTCTGTCCCATTTTATCCTCTCCTTAGGTAATCTCATTCTCTCTCAGAGCTTTGATTACTAGTAACACATACAAACACACAAACTTACATATTATCCTATTATAGGCTATATTTCACTGTGCTAAATTTCTCATTCATAGCACTTGAACAGCTGAAAATTTACATTGATTTGTATAAGCAATGTTTGTCTTTCCTGCAAATAGCACAAACTCCATGAAGACAGAGGCCATATCTTTTTTGACTAAGTGCTCCTTTCCACCACTTAGTATGATGACTAGGACATGGTGGGTCCTCAGTAAAAAAAAAAAACCTGCTGAATGAAAAAACAGAGGGGAACACCATTCCCACGGCTTCCTGTTTCCAGGTGGATGCACACACATCTAGTGAAGAACTATCTGACTGCCGAGAGCGGAAAAGAGGGAGGTGCACGTGTGGCGTGGCCCCTCCAGGCTCTCTTTACCTCTGGGATCTGCCCGCCAAGGGAGAAGGTGGCTTCGAGCCTGCCCTCACTAGGGAGAACTGTGATTGCCCAAAGGTGGTAACTGGATGAACTCAACAATGATTTGGGCTGAATTATTACGAGGCTACATATCCAAGCCTCACCAATAATGATATTTTTATCACCATCTGTCTGATTCTTACATTTACTTCTCTCTTGTTTACAAATACAGAGAAGGGAACATAGTTTCACTTACAACCTTCATTAAAACATCAAGAACACATATTTAAGGTACATATTCTCTTTTAAGCACCTAAGTGATTGTTCAGTCTATCCTTGAACTCATCCAGGACAGAAAACTCTATCCCTCGAGCTATTTTCTTCTAATTTCTATTTCTGGAGCTATCCCCTTCTAATTTATCTATTTATCTTTGGAGTCCAGTTTATTTAACAATGCTTTCAAAATTATTTGTACAACTAGTAAGTACCATGCCATTTATTCATGCAACTAAGATTTACTGCACAAATACTACATGCCAGGCATTCTGGTTAGGAATTCAGGATAAAATGTAAACAATATAGATACAATCCCTCTCTTTAAGGGCTTATATCTAGAGTAGAATATAACAGAGGTAGACAGACAAAATTATTTCATTCTGTTAAGGGCCATGAAGGAAGTAAACAAAGGAATGAGAAAGCAAAAAGGCACGGTAGTGGGAACCTACATTAAACAGGAGACTAAGCGCCAAAAAAGCCCCTCTGAAGAAGTGACATTAAACTGAGACATCAGGGATAAGAAAGAGAGAAGAAGAATCTAAGCAAAAGAAACACATATATACAGGACTTAAGAGTTTAAGGCATTTCAGGAACTGAGAGAAAACCGTGTGACTAGAATACAGAAGAGAATGGCATGAAGTAAGGCTTAAGAAATAAGCAGAGCTAAGACAGGGCAGGTCACTGAGCATAGTAAGAAGCCTGGCTTTTATTTAATGGTGCAGCATTAAACTCTTCTTCTTTAAGTTAAATCCCCACGTCCTTCTAGTGTTTTTCATGATACCATTTTGATCCCTCTTATTATACTAGTCATCTTTTCCATGTAGTATAGTCATTCTATATATTTAAATGAAATGCTTAAGCCTAGTTCTCCAAAGTACAATCTTATGAGGATAGAGGGTGGAGAAGGCAATGGCACCCCACTCCAGTACTCTTGCATGGAAAATCCCATAGACGGAGGAGCCTGGTNATATATATGCATTAGTATACTGTATTGGTCTTTATCTTTCTGGCTTACTTCACTCTGTATAATGGGCTCCAGTTTAATCCATCTCATTAGAACAGATTCAAATGAATTATTTTTAATGGCAGAGTAATATTCCATGGTGTATATGTACCATAGCTTCCTTATAAACACTTCACAAATCTGCATGTCATCCTTGGGCAGGGGCCATGCTAATCTTCTCTGTATCATTCCAATTTTAGTATACGTGCTGCTGAAGCGAGCACTTACCTAACTCTTAACAGTTACATCCCAACAGTGAGCAAAAGGAGCTTGCTATGATGCTAAAACTCCCAAAGAGCCAAGCCTTCTGCCCCAGTTATGACGATGCTCCTTCTGAAATCCACTTAACCTCACAGGTGGTAGCCTATTCACAGTTTCTCAGTTCAAGATCCAAGACCCACATTCTACCAAACAGATTTGACTTTCTCATGGTTACAGTTACTCATCAGCACGCCCAGTGCCAGCCAGAGGTGGTCAACATGCAAGGGAGGAGAACTCCAGCCGAAAACAGGCAATATGTCTCAACTTCTGGATCCCTCCTAGCTTTGTATAATCTACATTTAGGCATGATGTTTTTCTATCAAAGCAAGGGTATTAATATTCATAAAGTTAACAATCATCCTCACAGTTTCCCAAACAAAAATCTCTTCCTAAAAATCGCAACTTCTCCCTTTTTTCACCTCCACATATCCAATCAATCGCAAACTCTAACATTAAATATTCTTCCAATACTTCTTTCCTATTGCTCTCCTAGTTCATGCCACCATTAACTCCTCTAGATGACTGGAACAACCTGCTAACATGTCTGACAAGACCCTTCACTCTATGGCCTTTACTCAGCTCTCTGACCTCATCTTTAAATCTGGTGTCCTCCCTTCTCCCACTATGCAGACCTGTGATATTGAACTACCCTGTTCCATGATAACAGCATGTTGCATGTTCTTCCCTCTATCTAAAACATCTCTGCTCTAAGTATCTCCCTCCTTTTCGTGCTAATGTTCACTCATTTGTCAGGTTTCAACCTAAACATTACCTCCTCCAAAAAGTCTTCCCTGATACCTACCCAACTCCCCACTGAAGTACCATTCCTCCCTTCCTTGTACTTCCTCCATCTTAGTTCTTGAGTTTTACTGATATTTACTGATCAGCCATCTTCACTAGACCATACACTTGCAGATATCCAGGAACATGCCTATTTTGTTCACTTCTAAATATCAAACAACCAGCACAGTGCTCAGAACACAGTAGATATCAAAAATGTATTTGTGGAGAGTGAAATCGAGAAAAACTATGTGAACAAACACCTGCATAAATAAATTTAAGACACAAGATTTATGGAAAGTGAGAATGCCCTAACTTCCACACTTAGAATAATTTTATAAAGGCCTTAAATTTGCCTGCCTTAAATCTGTAACATTACAAATGAAACTCTACATTTAAGAGAAACTACGTAAAAGGTAAAATTGGTAAATATATAACCCATTAACTACTGATGTATCATCATACATTTAAATGTGTATTAAAAATACTGGACCATTTTTTTCTTTAAAGGAGTAATAAGGTGATACACTGCAGACCCAAATCACTAAACTGGCAAAATGTTATTCATTCATCCAAAACAATCAGTATTCCAGAAAGAACAAAGCTGCTTGTCCCTTAATATGCACATGGGTCACTGATACCCAACAAGTGAAAACAGTTTGCCTTGGGACCAACACAACAATCCAGTTTCAGTAAGTAGAAAATAATTTGATACTTACTCACATAATGCCACATATTTTTCAAGACAGTCAATCAGTAGTTTGCTGTCTCCTTGATGAAAGTGCAGAGCAGGGAGAACGACGTCATCCTTTAGACAGAATACCAAATATGACCAGCCCATACCCTCTTTGTTTTGCTTGATTGATTTCAGGTCTGTCAAACTGAACAGGAATGACCATTTGCTTTTCCCATTTCTATGACTTGGAGCATCTTAAAAACAAGAAAGTGGGGCAAAATATTTTTGTTCACCTTTTTAAAAGGTACTGACAGCACTCTTCACGACTGCCTAACAGAAATTTGCTGAACCTAGGGAATGACTGCAGCATTCATATTACCATGGCTTCCACATGTATTAGAAATGGCAATAAACATTTTCTTTAAAAAACAGTCTTTAAAATAATTATCTTACTGCATACAAACTGAAAAAAATGCTATCCTTATTTAAAATATCAGCTTTGCCCCAAAATGACAGTGGCTTTAGAAGCAGGTTGGCTGGATTCAAACAGCAACACCACCATCTTACTAACTGAATGATTTGGAGCAAATCTATCTGAGCCTTAGTTTCTTCATCTGTATAATGGAGATAATTATACTTACCTCCCACTGTTATTCTAAGAATTAAAAAAATAATACTTGTCAACTAACTACTATGGTGTCAAGTATATAGCAAATAATAAATATTCATCCTCTCCACTTCCCTCAAAAACAAATCAAATGATGCACTTCAACAGTCATTTAAAACAAAAATCACCCTTTATTCCTCACATCCAATTATTTTTAGCAGACTACACTGAGTGAAGGTAAAAGTATGCCAACATAAAAAGTAACACTGGAGTGAATACACAGACTAACATTTGTAAAACCCCACAAAATAGTGGGAAATTGAGGATGAAAGGTAATCAAGTTGTGAATGCTTCAAAAAGAATGAACACATTCAGTATCACTGCTAAAATTAACCTTTTATTAAATTAAGTCCTCAGTTCAAATCAAACTATAGCTATGTAAAATAAAGCATTTCCTAGTATTTGGGCTCTTTAGAGAGGCTTAAAATCCTAGGTTTGTGAATAATATCATAATCAATAACAAGCAACTTAAAGATCATCTATTTAAATAAAAATGTAAAGAATAAAGGAAAAAATGCTATCCAACACTTGTAATTAATTTCTTATCTAAAAATGTCATTTTAACATTTTAACTCAGACCTTAAGCAGGAAAGTTTCTGAAATCTTAAAAAACCCTTTCTTGACTATTATTTCATAAGAAGTGTCATACTATCCTGTTATTGAAAATCGTCACTAATTCTGTCCCAACACTACCAATTTCACAAAGATAAACCACAAAGATAATATTTGCTTACATAAGTTAAATTAATCAAAGGGTAGATCAGTCAGTACTGACCTGAATGTATGTCACCTTCCTATATAGTCAGGAACATTACAGCTCCATCACCTCCAACAAACTCTCCTAAACTGACACAGAGTAATCTACACCTTACAGAAACCTCTACTTGCAAGGAATGCAGACACCATCATACTTTCATGGACATGTGATCAAGTGATACCTTTAACAAGTATCACTTGAAAGAAAGTCCAGAAAGGCTAAAGTAAATTATCTACGCAGTGACCTGCTGACTTCCTGTTCAGATGGTGAACTCATATCCAAGGCTGATAACAGACTCAGTAGTATGTGCCCATTTTACTACACATCATGTTTCACTGGAATTTATATTACAGGGCTCATAACAGCATTACAAACGAACAGCAAGGTGAGAACAATTCTAGAATTCCAACATGAGTCACCTACATATGAATGTATCTGGACTACCCAGAAAGGATTCATACTACTAGATTATCTACAAAGACAAAAATATTTTCACAGCAAAACAGTGGTGAGTTATTTGCTGTTTTTTTTTTGTTCTGTTCTTTTATTCCACAAGTATTTTTTTCTTCGTAGTGCTGGAAGATCATCTTATGATTATTAAATAACATATGAAGACTATATGAATTATCAGAAGTTTGTGCATATTCCCAAACTAAAAATTTTATGCAGATTTTCTCTTGCTAATAGAAGAAAAACACATTACATGCTAAATACAACAGAAAATGCCCCACACATTTCCTCATTTAAAGCTCTGATAAATGATGAGAGAAACATTACAAGTCAATTCTAGAAGTCCCTTTACTAGAGTGTAAGTTTCCTGAAAACAAGAACTTAATTCTGTTCACAGCTATATGCCCAGCGCTTAGAAAAGTGACTAGCACATAATAGGTATTCAAAGATGTGTTATATAGAATAACAACCTAGTACCAAGTCAGCAGAAAAGTAACATGCAATCTGGTCTACCAACGCAAGCTAGCCAGAACTAGAAATTGTCACAGAAGAAAACTAACAGAACCCAAGAGTTAACCCAAAATTTCCTTTTTTCTCCTTAGAGAAAGGTAAATAAAACTAATTAGTTCTGATGAACTTACCATGTTGCCAAATACATGTAAAAAATACCTTCAACACACTGACATGGGAAAACTGGCTATAACAGAAGAAAAGTGAATAAAATAGTAGGTCTCTGCATGTCTTAACCAGAATTAACATGAAGGTCATGACATTTTACTTCAATAGGTTTCCAGAACATCATGGCAGTCTGTTATTCTGGAAAGATGTATTTTCAAAACATTTGATCTAGAATATAAAAACAAAGACTTAGGAGTATATTTCCTAAGAAATATAAACTTAAAAAAAGTTTTCAATAGTTGACTTTTTTAAGGTTTGCCTCTGTAAATCACACAAAAAAAGTAAAAAATGTGAAGGTTATAATAATAAAATTAAAAATTTTATTTGAAAAACTGCTTTTCAAAAATGAACAAAAATTTAATGGCTTAATTTTTAACTCTGAAACATTAAGATTAGAAAATGTCTTAAGAAGCAGTTTTTATGAAACATGACTGGATGAGGTTAAAATGAGATGGAATGGGATGAAATGGAAGACATGTACTTCATTAACTCCTTGTTCTGTTAAATATGTACATGTGTTTGCACACTGGGCCATACTGTGCAATATATTTCTTACTGCTATCATAAAATTTTTTAAGTAGTGGAGAAAACAGAGAAAAAGTAAATGTGTCCTTAACTTTTAATAATTACTAAATAAAGGCTCTTTACAAGCCATCATACAGTGCCAAGATATACAAGCAATATTTATGCCTGCTTCTTGCTAAGCTACGCAGTACGCTGTTACACAGACACACTCAACTCTGCACACTAAAATCACCAGAAGAATACAGGCGCTTGGGCCCCATCTCCAGAGGATGATTTAATTTGCTGGATGAAACCCAAACACTGGTACTTTCTTGATTTCTGGGTTTTTTGCCATGCATCCAGGATGTAGGACCTTAGTTCCCCAACCAGCGATCAAACCTGTGCCCTGCAGTGGGAGTATGGAGTCTTCCAACCACTGAACCACCAGGGAAGTCCCAACTGGTACTTTTTTTTTTTTTTTTTACTTTTTTTAAAAGCTTAACTTCCCCATGTGATTTCAATGCACAGCCAAAGTTAAAAACCATTAACCTAAAAAGATGTTTACTATCAGATATTTTTCTCAAACATGTATTTCAAAATTCCCTTTATGAAATTCTGAAAATTCACTCATTTTGCCCATTTCCGTAACTTTTTCATTTTCAAGGATTTAGCAATAATATTAGCCAATGAAAAATAGCAATTCACATCAACCAATCCTGAAGGTCTGATCTAGAGAACTTAAAAATCCCTCAAATGCTAAATATACTAAAATTCTGTGGTTTTCTTTTCATAACTAGGCTCTTTCTTGAGGTTTCAACCCACCTATTTGGACTACTGTATTTCTATAAGAGAAAGTTAGCCCTAGCTCATAGGCTTCCCAGGTGGCGCTAGTGATAAAGAACCCGCCTGCCAATGTAGGAGATGTAAGAGAAGTGGGTTCGATCCCTGGGTTGGGAGGGATTCTTCTTTCACTGGAATTTATATTACAGGGCTCGTAACAGCATTACAAACGAACATCAAAGTGAAAACAATTCTAGAGTTCAATTCTAGAGAACAATTCTAGTTCTCACTGGAAAGAGGAATTTCTTCTCCCCTGGAGAAGAAAATGGCAACCCACTCTAGTATTCTTGTCTGAAGAATCCCATGGACAGAGGAGCCTGGCAGGCTATAGTCCATGGGGTCACAAGAGTAGGACACACCTTAGTGACTAAACCACCATGCATATATGCTTTCTTTTTTTTGGCATTCCTATTCTACAGGGAAGGTTCTTATCAGAACAATGTAAAAATGTTATGAAAAGAAAACCACAGGACTTTAGTATATTTAGCATGTGAGGGATTTTTAACTTCTCTAGATTAGACCTTCGGGGTTGGTTTATGTGAATTGTTATTTTTTGTTTGCCTAATATATGCATGAGCTGATTGTTTTAAAAAAGTCTGTGATTTACTATTTAATTGCTACTGTTGCCAAGAAATGATACAGTACAAAGTGTAACTACTGTATATGAGAACGATTCCTCAGGTCATATATGAAAATCAATTTTACTTATATTATCATAGGAATACATATATTAAACATAGCAATATATATTCTTGTAAACATAGCAATACATATTGAACATAGCAATACATATTCTTGTAAACTTTGGCAAGCCTCTTTGACTTCAGTAAAATGCCGACAAATCCTAAATTCAGACCAAAATCATTAAAAGATCAAATATCCTATTACTTACAAAATACAAAGAAATCAAAACAAAAAAAATTTAACTCTTTAAAGTGTTTAATATTTTTTAAAGAGATCACAAGTAAGTTGGCCACATCACAGACAGGCTAGCTAGCTTGTATCTGGGATAGTATATGTATGTGTTCTACCAGACTGCTGGCTTGGTTCTTTCCTGTTATCTATATGTAGACAGTCACCACACAGCAAACATAAATTTATATACAAAAGAGAACAGCCACTGAACATATATATAATGGGGAGACTGCAATGAGCTGTGATGATCCCAGTAAACACTGAAATTAGAATGATATGGTTTAGTGGTATACTCCATCTCCCCCTGGTGCTTCAGGATGAAATAACATGAGTTTTTTAAATTCTACCGAATTATGAAAAATGTACATGAGAGACAACCAAAGCAATTTTTAAAGTGTTTCTATTTTATGCCATTAATAACTTCAAACAGAACAAGCACTTTATGAAGTCACAACCGAGGAAACAAAAAGATGATAAAGGAATAAAAACATGAGTTATACATATTAATCAAAGCACCAAATCATCCTTCCTCTAAGGAGCATGAAACCACTTTCTTTGCACTTTTGTTTATACTGTAGCAAATCAGTTAAAGATTTCAAAAGATTGAAGTCATACCTCCATTAGTATGTGGTTTCTTTTTAAATGAAACTGTATTAACCATGTCCCACTCTGCTTCGTAACTGTTCAGATGTTCCGCTACTCGATGAGCTCTTTCTTTTGGGGCCTGAGTCCATTCTACAACTGAGCTGGAGTCCTAAAATAATTATAACATATAAAATATTTAGGGACTAAGACTACAATTTCACTTCAATCAATAATGTCTTCTCAGTTCTATATAAATTAAGTTTGTAGGTTGTGGCAGACATCACTGGTGGGAAAACTGAACACTATTTCCTATCCTTTCTCCCTTGTTCAAGAAAACAAAAAAAGAAAAGCGTGTCCAGACTCTTCTGCAGATAGAGTTATCAGTGAAATATAAGCTAAGTGAACAGTAGGCCTTGGGACTGCTTTGATTTTCCTAATAAAAGCCTTATCCCTTTGCCCCTACTTCCTGCTTTCGATGCAGCCATGTTGCTAAAAATATAACAGCCACCTTACAACCATAGAGAAAAAGCAAGAAAAACACTGCAAAGAGCTCCAAACCGCCAGACTTCTGGTTATTTGAGGAAAACAGTCAACAGTAACCACTTATTGAGGTCATCATCACTGGTAATTTTGATTAAGAGAAATACACTCTTAATCAAAATTACCTAAAAGCTACAAATAACATATCTACATGTTTAGTCCTAAAGAATTTTGTTTTAAGAGACTAAAACAAAAAAACAACCAAAAAACTAAAAAAAAAAACAAAAAAAAAACAAGTCTAAAATGCAACATTAATAATTTGACTAAATCAAAAAATTTAACTTCTAGTCAACAAAAGATACTACACATAAGTTAACGATAAGAAAAATGTGTGAAATCTTTCTAAAATACATAGAAGATGACAGAAAAACATCCAGAATACAAAAATAACCCCTACCAACTTACTTAGAAATTAACAAATATCAAAAGAGAAAAGGAAATGGCATGAACAAGCAAATCAAAGAAGAAACATGAAGTGACAAAGAAAGAAGTCCAACTTTAGAAACAAAGAAAAGCAAGATGAATTTCAATTTTTATGCCCCTTTCAATTAAAAAATAAAATATAGAAGACAGTGTGAGGAAATGCTATCTCACACTGATGGTAACAGTGATAATTAGTACTGACTGAAATGAAAATTGAGTCATATTTATTAAAATTTAAAATATGCATATTTCACAATAACTTTATCTACATTAGAGAAATAAACATGTATACAAAGAGGCAGTTATAAGAATTTTCATCATAACATTGCTTGTAAAAGTGAAAAGCTGAAAATAACTTATTATCCATCAATGAAAGAATAAGTAAATAAACTAGGGGTAGCCAATAAAATGCTAGGCAGAAGTTTTAAAGATTGATATCTATTCATGTATATTTATGTTCAATATGTAAAAGTAAATAAAAGGAAATCATGAAACAATGTATGCAGTATAACAACTACATGGAACATACATAATTAGAATCACACTAGAGAAAACCAGGGATGATGGATGGATGAATGGATATAGACAGGTATACAGATAAGGAAGGAAATGTGTACTGATAAAAGTCTGGAAAGATACACAGTAAACAGGGACAGATGAGGGATGGGGTTCTAGTCAAGGAGGGCTTCAACTTTCTATTATTCGAATTTTTACAATGTGGATTACTAGTGTAATTCTTTTCAAAAATGGAAAAAAGATTTTATAGGAACAGGAATATATTATTAAGAAACAAAAGAAATTAGTAAGGAATAGAAATGGGCTGAAGAATAGGGGGAAAAAAACTGAATGAATGAAATTATAAAGTGGAGTGCTTTTTCCTCAGAGTCCTTCCACAAATGTCACTTCTCAGGGAGTCCTCCTTGTTTGCCCAATTTAAAAAATACAACCTTTACCACCATCACTACCAATAAAGAGGAAAGCTAAGTAGCATTTACAGAACCCAACCCCACCCGAAGGCTTGGACCTGGTGAATCAGGTACGTTTGGAAACTAGAATAAAAGTCAAGCTGAAAAAAGGACTACTAACAAAAGTCCAGAAGGCTGGAGGTTTATTCACTGGAAAAGGTAAACAGATTCTCTCTGGATTACAGGAAACCTGGGACACTGAGCAAAGAGATAACACACTAAAAACAGGAGAATGAATCGAAAGCTCATCAAACGAGTGGCAAGACCCCCAGCTCTCTTCCTCCACTCAGTCCCGGACAGCAGAATCCAGTTTTCTCTCTTCAGGCAGAAATCTGTAGACTCTTCTCTGACAAATGACCAGCCCAAGAAAAAAGACCCAGGTTTCAACATCAGGGATTCCCCAAGCAAACAGCCTAGCCAGGTCGCCCTGAGTCCCAACTATGAACAAACCTATCCATACACTGACAGAGTATGATCAGTTTTTCGTGTGTGCTGTTTATTAGCACCAAGTACAAAGATCACCAAACAAAGGCAATTGTCTACATAAATGATAAAAGTCTAAATGAAACAGAGGAAAAGATAGTGAATTAGAGAAAGTGGACTATATACAGAAATGAAAACATCTAAAAAATTATCCTTAAATTCCTCAGAAACAAGGGAATCATAGATGAATAACATCCAAGAATAGGATGCAAGTTTTCTTTTAAAGGGGGGAAAGGGGACACATAACAAGATGCATTCAAAATTTAAAAAACAGCAAAGATGAAAATGGTTCCAGAAGAATTGAAACATAAGACTAAAGAAATTTCCTAGAAAATAACATACACATATACAAAGAATCAGAAAATAGTAAAGTATTAAAATACTACAGGACCAACATAAAACATGTAGAGGGTTCAAGAAAGAATGAAAGTAGAAAATGGACAGAAAGAAGAAATCACCACTAAAACAATTCAAGAACATTTTCTAAAAATGAAAAGATAGAAGTTTTCATATTAAAAAGGACTATCAAGTACCCACACAGAGGATAAAAAGGACCACAAGGGCACATTTCCAGGACAACTAGAACACTAGAAACAAAAAGGTAATTCTAAAACCTTTTAAAGAGGAAAAAAATATAGTAAGGATCAGGATTCGAATACATTAGACTTAACATCAATAAAGAAAATAAGTGAAATGTAAAGACAGTAACTTCCAAAAATATGAGGGTAATTTATTTTCATACTATAATTCTATGCCAGCCAGTCATCAATTCAGAACTGACAGCTCAACCCAAATGTTCATAGGATAAAAACGTCTGAAAACAGAGACGCCTTTGGTCTCACACACGCGTTTTCTCGGGACGCACTGGAGGTGCACCAGACCTAGAGAGTACGCCAGGAGAGAAGACAGCACAGGCAACAGGAGAAGGGGTAAAACATGGGAAGGAGGCCAGAGGAAGCCAGACCATTGCTACACAGCAAACGAAAAGGGCAGCCAGTTCAGGAGGACCGTGGAAGACAAGTCTGCAAGAAACGTCTACAAGAAGATGAAATTAGATCGTCTGTGTGACTAATACTTTGAGAAGAAATGTGGACAACTGAGCCATAGTTTCAGGGTGAATTAGAGATAAGAGAGCTAAATCCCTACCTTCCAGTGAGAACTAAACATGTTAGACACAGTAAACATAAATGAATCCAACTATCCTATTTCTAGGTTTTCAAGGAAAATATGTCCACAAAGAAATTTGAACCTGTTCATGCAGAGGAGCATTATTTAGATTAGCCTAAAGATGAAAACAACCCAAATGCTCATCAACTGATGAATGAATAAACAAAATATGGCACATATCCAGAAATGCAGTATTATTCAGCAAAAAGGACAAAAAGGAAAGAACAGACAGGTACTAGAACATGGATGAACCTTGAAAATATTATGCTACGTGAAAGCAGCCAGTCACATAAAACTACATATTATATGATTCCATTCAGATAAAATGTCCATAATAAGCAAATCCTCAGAGGCAGATAGTAAATTAATGAGTGAAGATTATTAGAGTTAAGTGGGAAAGAGAGGTGACTGCTTTTTTGGAATAGAAATGTTTTAAAGTTGGTTACTGGTGATAGTTATACAATTCTGTAAATATACTAAAGAAACTGAATTATGGCCTTTAAAAGAGTGAACTTTATGGTATATGAATTATAGCTTAATAAAGCTTTTATTTAAAAACGTCATTCCTTTAGTAATATATTTCTTCCTTAAATACCTTTCCAGCATAGAGAATACTACAAGAATCTAATGCATCATCCAGTGGTCTCCAGTCCACTATTACTTCAGCATCCTAGAAAAAAAAATTATTAACCATATTTACTCTTCAGCAATATCTTATTTTTCAGTCACCTATAGTTAATTCCCTGAACCAAAAGTGAAATTTTTTAGGGGGGGCTGCACCACAAGGCATGTAGGACCTTAGTTCCCCGACCAGGGCTTGAACCCATTTCCTCTGCATTGGAAGCTCAGATTCTTAACTACCAGACTACCAGGGAAGCCCCCAAAATGAATTTTTAACCTCTTAAATTTATTAGCACCCTAATATGCATATCATATGTAAACAACCACTATTTGACAACAAACAATATGCAGATTTCTAAATTCCAATTTTCATTATAAAAAATTATATTACTGCAACTTTTCCATAGTAAATTTAAAAATATTCCATGCACTTTACTGGCTTATCTGAAGCATTTTATTTCTAACATCACTTTCATGTTAAATTTACAACCACTGTTCAATTATATAATTTTCTCTTACAAGTGAAATTCAAACTTGCTGATAATGTCCCAATTACTATTAATTTAAACAATTATTTTTAAAAATTTATTTAAACAAACAATTGTTAAATAAAGTCATTTACTAGAAACATACCTTTTCTAAAACACGTAATATTCCTGAAATCAAGCTGTCCTGGTCATTGGTCTTTCCCAAAGATGAGTGAATATAGACCCCTTCCTGTTCATATATAATCTGAAACAGCAAAAATAAGATTAATCAAACCATTTTTATGCAGTAATATCTCAACGTTTGTCTTAAAATATTTAAGAGATATTTTTCTATAATGCCTGAACCAAGTTTTTTATTATTTCATATAAAAGTGTATTATCTTTTTTTTTTAGTTCTACCAGTTTATTGCTACCAACCCATCTCCCTCCACCCTCGTGCACACATGCCCAGTCATGTAATCCCATGGACGTCAGCCCGCCAGACTCCTCTGTCCATGGATTTTTCCAGGCAAGAATACTGGAGTGGGTTGCCATTTCCTTCTTCAAAAAGTGTATTATCTTAAAAATATTATTGAGACTTAAAAACACTTCAAACATAAATTAGAAAGGAATTTGCTTTGTTACACATGCAAGTCTGGTGATATGTAATCACAATCTTGATCTTCTCCTTAGACAAAGATGTCAAGCTAATTGTTGTGTGACACTATATGCAAATTTCACATAACATATTTTTAACAAACATTAAGCAAAGTATTGGGTTCAACCTGAAAATATTAAAAATAAGAACATGAAATACAATGAGAAATTAATGATTTCTAACTATTCCTATAACACAGCATATGTTTTTACCATAAGTTTATTTTGGTGTGCTTTTGTAGCACAATGGCCTAGAAATTCATGGAATAATATGGGAATATTAAAAAGTAATAACGAGGCCTTCTTGGGATGATCAGAATTAGTTTAAGCTCATAAACACTTGCTGAGTGCCTCTATATGGAAGAGGATAAAAAAGGTACGTTAAGACTATGACAGGCTTCCCTGGTGGTTCAGTCAGTCAAGAATCCGCCCACAATGCAGGAAACCTGGGTTCGATCCCTGGGTTGGGAAGATGCTCTGGAGGAGGGCATGGCAACGCACTCCAGTACTCTTGCCTGGAGAACCCCATGGACAGAGGAGCCTGGCCGGCTGCAGTCCACGGGGTGGCAGAGAGCTGGACACGCCTGAGGGACTGAGCACACAAGACAGGCCCCAGTACCACGTCCCACAGGAGTACAGGGGAGACCAGTTACCTCCTAAGTAAACGAGATGCTTATGAAGTTAAATCTTGTTTGCTAAAAGCATTATCTGATATATTAAGATTCTATCTCTGACCCATTTCAAACCAGTAAAAACTACTTTTCATTATGAAAATAAGTAAAAGGAAAATAAAACGGTCACTCCCAGACCTAAGTAATTTTGACATTAAGTTTGGAATACAGTCTACTTTCTATTTATGTAGATCTTTTATCAATACAATCACACTATTCAAAATAGCACTTGTTCAGCCACCCAGTTGTGTCGGACTCTTTGCAAACCCATGGACTGCAGCACGCCAGGACTCCCTGTCCCTCACCATCTAACGCAGTTTGCCCGAGTTCATTTCCATTGCATTGGTGATGGCATCCAGCCATCTCATCCTCTGACACCCTCTTCTCCTTCTGTCCTCAATCTTTCCCAGTCTCAGGGACTTTTCCAATAAGCCAGCTATTCGCATCAGATGACCAAAATCCCAGAATTCCAGCTTCAGCATTGGTCCTTTGAACAAGTTTTCAGAACTGATTTCCCTTAAGATTGACTGGTTTGATCTCCTTGCTATCCAAGGGACTTTCAGGAGTCATTTCCAGCACCACAGTCCAAAGGCATCAATTTTTTGGTGTTCTGCCTTTACAGTCCAGCTCTTACAACCATACATGACCACTGGGAAGCCCATAGCCATGACTATACGGACCTTTGTCAGCAAAGTAGTATCTCTGTTTTTCAACACATTGTCTAGGTTTGTCAGTTTTCCTGCCAAGAAGCAATCATCTTCAGATTTCATGGCTGCAGTCACGGTCACAGTGATTCTGGAACCCAAGAGGAAAACTGTCACTACTTTCACCTTTTCCCCTTCTATTTGCCATGAAGTAATGTGGCCAGATGCCATGACCTTAGTTTTTTTTTAATTTTTAGTTTTAAGCCAGCTCTTCACTCTCCTCCTTCACCGTCACCAAGAGGCTCTTTAGTTGATCTTCACTTTCTGCCATTATAGTAGCATCATCCACATATCTGAGGTTGCTGATGTTTCTCCTGCCTATCTTGATTCCAGCCTTAACTCACCCTGTCCGGCATTTGTCAGGATGTCCTCAGTCTACAGGTTAAACAAAAACAGGGTGACAGCAGACAGCTCTGGCATACTCTTCTCTCAATCTTGAACCAAACAGTTGTTCCATACACGGTTTTAACCGTTGCTTCTTGACCTGCATACAGGTTTCTCAGGAGACAGTAAGATGGTCTGGTATTCCCATCTCTTTAAGAGTTTTCCACAGTTTGCTATGAGCCCCACAGTCAAAGGCTTTAGCATAAACAATGAAACAGAGGTAGATGTCTTTCTGGAATTCCCTTGCCTTCTCTATGATCCAGCAAATGTTGGCAATTTGATCTCTGGTTTCACTTCATTTTCTAAACCCAGTTGGACATCTGGACGTTCTTGGTTCGCATGATGCTGAAGCATGCGATTTTAAGCATGACCTTACTGGCATGGAGATGAGGGCAACTACCCAATGATCAGCACATTCTTTAGTACTACCCTTGTTGGGAACTGCGATGAGGATTGACCTTGTCCAATCCTTTGGCCACTGATGGCTCTTCCATATTTGCTGACATACTGACTGCAACACCTTGATGCCTAAAGCATCATCCTTTAGGGTTTCCAACAGCTCTATTGGAATTCTACTGGGCTTCCCTGGTGGCTCAGACGGTAAAGAATGTGCCTGCAATACAGGAGACCTAGGTTTGATCCCTGGGTCTGAAAGATCCCCTGGAGAAGGGAACAGCAACCCACTCCTGTATTCTTGCTTAGAGAATTCCACAGAGAGAGAAGCTTGGCGGGCTCCTGGGCCCATGGGGGTCACAAAGGGTCAGACACGACCTAGCGACTAACACACACACTGGAAATCCATCGTATCCACTAACTTGATTAACATCAGTGCTTCCTAAGGCCCACCTGACTTCGAGCTCCAGAATGTCCGGCTTTGGGTGACTGAACAGCAGAGGGACCAAGGATGTAGGACGAGCAACAAAGCTCACCATCATCACCCCTCAGAGGACATTTATGCAACATTTATGAACCAACAATTCCATGTTATAGCTCAATCCTTACAAAAATCATAGGTTCTATATTATTATAACTACATCATTAGGATGAGGAGAGTATTTATGGGCTGAGAAATCTGAAAGAGGTTAAATAACTTGCCTAAAGTTGAAGACACATATAGTAAGGACTGATTAAGGAGTGGTGTAGAGTCTGAAACCCAGGCAGTCTGACACCAGAGAACTGTTCTCTTAGCCACTGCACTACAAAGTTCCCACATTACTTTTATTACTTCTCCTGTTATGTTAATCGCTTCTGGTACAGACTTGTATCAAGTCAAGGAAGAGTCCTTTCAGTAATCAAGATTACAAGAGAAGTTCTGATCGCAAAAAATCTAAGATGGCCTTCAACGAAACAGCTGTTAAACCACCAGACTAGCATGAAGCAGAAGGCAAAGACTAGGGACAGTCTGAGTTAAGGAGTGGTGGGAAACAATTCTGTACTGTTTGTATAGAAATGAAAAATTAAATTTTAAAGCATACAGATTTACTCACAGATGGACACAAAGATATGTGTAAGAACATTCACAATACTATTATTTATAACATGGTGGGTGGTAGAGCTGAAAGGAGGAAAAGGAAGGTATGAACCTAAATGACCACAAAGAGAAATTATCAAATACAATCTGCAATATTCATTCTATGGAGAACAGAACTCAGAAGCTGAGAGGCAGATTAAACAGAGAGGCATACATGGAAAAAACTCCCAATTATATATAAAATAATGACATTTATATTTTTTAAAAGTGTCTCTGTGCGTGCTATATGCGCTAAGTCACTTCAGTTGTGTCCACTCTTACCTGTGTAAAATAACAGACAACAAGCTCTGGAAGGACACACTTCAATGTTAGCAAAGGTTACTTCTGAGAAAGAGAAGGGAACAAAGAAAGGTTGAAAGAGAAACTGTAACTTTCTATGTTACTGCTGGACTTGTTTGAATATTTCAAAGTGCAAAAACAGTGTTACACTGCTTCTTAAATTCTGTGGTTCTATTAATACTAAAGAGATTCTGGAACTTCAGTGAAATAAATGAGCCCTCTTAAAGAATCAAATGCAACACTTCACCTAACTGAAGCACATCAAGCAGCTCTTTCTTTCCCATAAACATGTCAGTGAAGTGTAGCCTTACTCTTTTTCATTTAAGAAAAACTTTCCTAAGTAATTCAGTTGGGAAAATATTTAAAAACTACTAAAGCACCAGGCACCTCATCAAAAAAGTCAAAACTGTACTACCCATCTCATGTTCTTAACTTTTTAGCACTTTCTGAGGGACACATTACATGTCCAAAATTTGACAATTCTAAACCGTGACTTGTACTGTCTTTAGAAAGCAGTTATGTTCATCTTTCTGATTTGAAAAGTATGATGTTAACTAATACAAATTAATTCTGCAGAAGGAATAAAATTTGTAAATTTACCTTCATGTCTACAAAACTTCATTAAGTCTTATTAGACTCAAAGGCATACAAACATAAATAATTACTAGTACATAATTTACTTCAAATATAACATTTAGATCTTATTACCTCCATTTTTAAAGAATTAACTGAGACACAGAGCTGTTAAGTGACTTTATATCAAAGTAAGAAGTGGATTTCAGATTTCCTGGCACCTTCACTCATTAAATCTCCATGATTACTGCCTCAAGAATCTACCAGAAAAATTTTACATAGCTTCCTTAGAAGATGGTTTCTGAAACTGCTTAGATGCAGAAAATAATGCTGCTTCAAGGACTAAAAACAAAAAAACAGTTTTTTTTGCCTGCACTTCTCAGCTTGTGGGGTCTGAACCCAGGCCCTCAGCAGTGAAAGCACACAGTCCTAATCACTGGACCACCAGGGAATTACCTAAAAACAA